CCCATTTCCGCCGCCATGGCTGTCCTGCTCATCGCTGCCTTGGCCGGTGTTCTATTTTTATGCGCCACACAGAAAAAAAGACGAAGAGACATTCCTCTCATCAATCCAAAGCAGTCATTCGAGTTCTCCAACCAGAGGCGTCTAGACGATTTCAGCCATAATTGCAGACAGTTGATGGCGCTTGGGAAATCCAGATATCCGAACAACCCGTTCAGAATGTTTTGCCCCGAAGGCGAGGTCATCGTCTGGCCTGCACAGTTAATCAACGAAATTCGAAGTGAACCCGGTTTAGAATTCGTTGGTACTTCGACAGATGTCAGTCAGCCCTCAGCCAGAAACACGTTGTCTCTTGCACTAATATTGAAACGCTTGATCGATAGGACAGTAAGGCGCATATTCCAGGATTCCAACCTTTTGGAGTGTCCGGAGAGTTGAGCATTGTTGTCAACAAATACTTGAATAAGGTTATGGGTAGGCTCCTTCCTAGAAGTCGAGAAAGATCTGAATTCATCCTCATCACCGTGTAAGCCAAATTCACCGAACCTTTATCGCAAGAAACGAGCCTCGCACTCGCTGAGATACTACCAGACTGTCCAAGTAAGTGCACTTTAAGTTAGTTATTTGAGCAGGGCATTTGGATTCAACTAACCTGACGCACAAGATTGGGTTGAAATTGCACCAGCTCAGTACATCCTGCCGATCATTGCCCGCGTGTCTTCGAGAGTGTTCCTAGGCGAGCAACTGTGCCGCAATAAGGAATGGATCGAAGCATCCGCAGGCTACGCTCCCGTTGCATTTGGTACTCAAGCTGAATTGGCTCGTTGGCCAATAATCCTGCGTCCCTTAGTTCACTGGTTTCTCCCTTCATGCCATAGAGTCCGCTCTGAGTTTGCCAAAGCCCAACGCATTCTCGAGCCTTTCGTTCGGAAGCGCAAGGCTCTCAAAGCCTCGGCCTTAGCCGCTGATCAAACCTTGCCAGTATTCGAGGACGCCATTGAATGGTTTCAAAATGTCTGCGGGGATAACTTCGACGCGACTGTGGGCCAGATCAGCCTTTCTATGGCCGCCATTCACACAACAAGCGACTTAATCCAGCAAGCAATGGTACAAATTGCGCAACATCCTGAGCTTTTTGATCCTCTTCGTAAAGAGGTTACTGAAGTTTTTAGAACTCATGGCTTTAACAAGACTGCACTCCGTGAGCTCTTCCTAATGGATAGCGTGTTTAAGGAAAGTCAAAGGATGAAGCCAATCTTACTCTGTATGTCTACCGATGGTCTCAAAGTCTTTTTTTACAGAAATGCTGACTGTCATAGCTACTATGCGGCGAATTGCTGTCAAGGACATCCAGCTCCCTAGTGGATTCGTTCTCAATAAAGGCGAAATGGTCATTGTGGACAGCACTAACATGTGGGACTCGGCCTACTACGAAAATGCAGACAGGTTCGATGGCTACCGATTCCTGAATCTGCGAAAGCACCCGGAGAAGGCAAATACTGCTCAATTAGCAAGCGCGAGCCCTGACCATATGGGATTTGGATATGGCCTCCATTCTTGCCCGGGGCGTTTCTTTGCAGCCAACGAAGCAAAGATTGTTCTGGCCTACCTGCTGCTGAGGTACGAATGGAAGTTAGCCGGCGGTTCTAAACCAAAGAACCTTACCATTGGATATGCTATAGTCGGAGATCCAACGACGAAGTTTTTGATTAAAAGACGCCAAGAAGAGCTGGATCTAGAATTGTTAAGCAACTAGAGCAGGGATTTTTAAGTTTAGAACTTGCTCGCTAAGTGTTGCGACCTAACACGTATAACGAGGCTAGGGTCTCGCCCCACAAGACCTGCGGCGGCTACTATACTATATATACAGAGGAACGAACTTAAGATAACTCATCTTGGGTCGGAAGAACTATAGATAAGTTATATAATAATAAGAAGGACCGACGGACGATAAGTAGTTTATAAATAGGACTAATAATATAAAAATAATTTACTTTTATAAAACTAATATTATAATATTAATCTTAATTATAAAAGAACTATTTAAATAATATATAAGACTTATATATAAAATAAACTCGAGCTAGGCTTATAAATAAACTTTTTATAGTTTTATTAATAATTAATTTAATATTAAATTTTACGATTATTTTTAGCTATTTTTATTAAAAACTTTTTTAATAAAACTATAATTAATTATTAAAGCCTTATTTATTTTATAATTTATAAATATAGTTTTAAAAAAGCTATTTATAATTATAATATTATTAATTTAATATTTATAGCCTTAATTTTTATTAATATACTTATTATAACTAGCTAGTTATAATAATATACTTATATTTAGCTTATTCCTAAGTAATTAAGTACTATATTATTATATAATATACCTAGCTCGGTTTATTATTTATATTTAGTCCTCTTTTTAAGTTTATATTACCTTATTATTACTTATATCCGTATCCGTATTAATACTTAATTACTTATTAATAACGTTTATACTAAAGCCCCTACTCTCGTTCTTTTATATAACTTTATTTATTTATAAAAATATACTATAATAATAAGCTTATTTTAAAGTATTATTTACTTTTTATTAAAATAAAAGTACGAGTTATAAGTATTATACTAATAGCTTACTTACCTCCCTAAATAAGTTCTAATAAATAATCTTAATTTAGCTACTACTCTAGTACTTTTTATAATACGACGTAATAAAATATATTATATTATTATATATAAAAATATGCCTTACTTTATTATTAATTATATTAATTACTTTTACGTTATTAATTTCTATTACTTAGCCTAGTTATCCCCCTAGTATATATATTAATAATTAAAGCTATTTATAAAACTATTTAAATATATACCTATATTTATATATTATTTTTATCTAGAGCCTATTATAACTACTTATTAACCCCTCTATACCCTATTTTAACTAATTTTTTTAATAAATAGTAATATATTAAAATACTTACTCATCCCCTTTTCTTAACTATATATTATAATTATTACTTAAAAACGAGTAATCTTTTTATATTTTATTATAATCGTCCTTAATTAAAGTTTAGTAAATATAAAATGATAATATATAAAAATACTCCTTAGCCTAAGTAATATCTACGTTTATAATACCTTATTTACCTCTACTTACTATATAATTTATAATTATTATTAACTATATTAATAATAACTTAGCTTTATTAATAATATTATAAAATATATTTAATAATTAGTTTATAATAAACTATATATATTAATATATTACGTAGTTGCTTATTTAGTTAATTATATTATTTATTAATATATTATATTAAATATATATTTTATATATTTATATATTAACAATCTAGTTTATTAGTATTAACTTAGCCTCGGGGGCCCTAGATATATAGGTTATAAACTTTTATATTATACTTTATACGTAAGTAAAGAGGCTCTATATATTATTATTAACTACTTTTTTAATTATTATAATAGCTAAATAGGTAATATTATTCTACTTTTTTATTTATATTTTATAAATAATTAATATTTATACGACTTTAATAATAACTAAGTACCTTATTATATAATTTATAATTTTAATTTAGCTATTATTAGCCCGGATACTTATAATAATAAGCGTACTTATCAATACCTTTTTATAATACTCTTTTTTAAGTTAGTAATTAAGTATATTAATAAATATATTTCGTTCCAAAATGCGGCGATAACCGCTGCGTGTCTTATGCCCCTGGTGCATCATCCAACCCTACGTGCCTTTAAATGGCTGCTACGTATCGAGATAAGCTGGATTACTGAAGATAAGGCTGGGGGCTTCTTCTAGATCCAGTAACTATTTGGCACTTTAGCGACCTAACTAGATTCTAAATACACAATCACTTGATACGAGAACGCTGCCCGTTATGTGATATACCTCAGTAGACTCAACGAGCATTTTTTTACTAAGAGCGAAGCTACATAACATGTTGCAGATTTTGCACTAGATGAAAAACGCTCTGCTTCCATCGTTGAGCAGAATATCTCGCAAGCTAAGCGGAATAAACTTATCGTGCAGGCCTTTATTAACTATTATTCACATACGTGCAGTTGGGTGGCACTAGTAAGAGTGGCCTTGGGATTTATGAGATTTACGCAAGGTGAGAGACTTGTGGACGATCCATCCTAATGCAAAACCCTTTATGAGGAGGAAGTGGTCCTCTTGGTTCCAGGAACCTGCTTTAGGAAGGAATATGCAGGCTGGGTCCTCATTGATCTTGGCATGCCATCTCAACGGCTTAGAGACGGCTTGGATGTGGTCTCAAGGTTCATTTTGAATAGCTACAGCAACATACCCCTGGCTTCTATCGGATGAAGAGGGGGATTTCAACGGGTTTTAACCCGGATGAATGCCAAGCGAATGTATGTAATTTGGCTAGATCACAATATCCTGGCGTTTTCATTTCTATCGGTCGCAACGTCTTCACTTCTGAAGGAGGTCAGTATCGATCTATTGAAAACGAACACACGGCACAGGCAATGCCCAGGCGTATAAAGGAAGGATACGAATTTATACACGAGGCACTGGCTCACTGTAGAGGATAGGAAAAATTGACAGCTCTTGAAGACGAGACACAACTAACCAGGATGGTTTGTAAAATTAGTACGAAACGGTGAGCTTGTTCAGTGCCCAATGGGTGGTGCGTTGAGCCCTGTCCACGGGTAATGAGCTGTTCTTAAAACGGGTGGGCCCGGGATAAGCCGCCCCTGCAGACTGCCAACCGGATACGAATCCAGAGCAGGCATCATTGCGCATGAGTCGATCAGGGGGAAGTGCATCGCTTCCTCTTCAGTTGCCGACCAAACTTCTCACCTGCAAGGTCAATCCTTTCTTTTTCTCCTATCAAGTGACGACGACCTCTCACGACGAAGTTAGTCGTAAGCTTGCTCGTGTCTTTGTCCGCTTGCGTCACTTACGCGAACCATCACTGCCCTTAGAGCGAGTATCAGCAGCGATGGCATGGCAACCTTGGGAGAACTTCAAGGCCGACCATCCCGTCACGGCGGACTACATGTTTGAATCATGCGCCGCCATCCGTCCATACCTGCCTCCGCTCAACTTCATCACGGCCCACTACGCCTACTTTGTATTGACTGGGCTCATCTTTGCCGGCATCTTTCACGGGCTCTCGCACTCAGCCAATTATGTCAGCTTTATTGACAGCCTTTTCCTCGTCATCTCTGCTTTTACCACATCCGGACTCAACACAGTCGATATCAGCAAACTCAGTACCGCCCAGCAGGCTATAATGGCCATGATGATGGTTCTTGGCAGTCCTGTCTTCGTCTCCATTTTCACCATTTGGCTCCGTGCCCGCGTTTTCGAGAAGCGTTTTGAGGACATCGTCAGGGCCGAACGAAACAGGAGGATCAAAAAGACTGGCGCCATGGTCGGCATGGCCGGAGCGATGATTGGTCTTCCCGTGATGTCATCCTTTAAGGGATCTAAGCGGAAGCAAAAGAAGGGTAGACACGAGCGACAGCCTGAGGCTGATGCGTTCCAGTTGACGGGATCGACATCCCGTGAGAAGGGCCACGGCCGGAGCCAGAGCCAGACCACCCATCAAGAGTCTGGACCATCCGGCATGCTGGAACCTATCGAGGAGGGCCAAAGGCTCGGCTTCTCCACTAGCTTCACAGAGCCGCTCTCGCCCAAGTCGATTGCCACTACTAGGCGGAGGCCTTTCAGTCGTGATGACAGCCGCCATTCCATTTCAGAAGGCTTTGACTTCAAGACTTTCATCCACGAGAACAAGAAGTCAGTCGGCAGAAACGGCCAGTTTTTTGACCTCACAGAAGAGCAGCGCGAGTACCTAGGTGGAGTCGAATATCGGGCCCTCAAGATCCTCTTTACCATTGTCTGCATCTACTTTATCCTCTGGCAGCTCCTTGGGGCCATCACACTCGGCGCTTGGTCATACGTGCACAGCCAGAGTATAACGGCCGTAAACGCGCAAAATTCATGGTGGGCTGGCATTTTTTTAGCCATCTCTTCATTCAACAACGCTGGAATGACGCTCCTCGACGCAGGCGTAGCAGCCTTTGACAATGATGCCTTCGTCTTGACCGTTGTCACCATTCTTTCTCTAGCCGGAAACGCTGCGTTTCCTGCGTTCCTCAGAGCCACCGTTTACTTCTGCAGCTTGGTCTTGAAAGTGTCTGTCGATAGCGACGAGTACACTGTTTGGAAGGAAGCTTTCGATTTCATCCTGAAATACCCTCGCCGTCTGTACATGATGATGTTTCCTGCCAAGGCTAATTTGGTATTTGTCACAATGTTCTGCACCATTGCTGCCATGGATTGGGTCCTCTTGTTGGTTCTCAGCATCGGCAACTCTGCCATCGAGGCGTATCCGATTGGAAAGCGGGTCGGGCTGGCCGTCTTTCAGGCATTAAGTAAGTTATAAGTGTGGTCTTCTTCTGTCTTAGAGATTGGCTGACCTTCTTGCCTCCAGGCCTCCCTTCCGGCGGTTTTGCGGTTGTTCCCGTGTCAAGCCTCTACTTCGACGTTCTTGTCCTTTGGGTCATTGTTATGTACATCTCTGCATATCCGGAGATTATTGTCATGCGAAACTCAAATGTCAGTGGCATCGCTAGTCTAGTCGAGGCGTGCGCTTCTCACTAATAAAATTCAAGGTATACGAAGAACGGTCACTAGGGATTTACACTACGGAACCTGAAAAGTCCGAGGACCTAGACTCAACTCCCGACGAATCGACAGATGAGCTCCTGCCAACCTTTGGGCCCCTGCTATCTCGACCGACGTCTAGCCATGCACTTGGCCTAGAAAGATCAACAACGTCAGCACCAGGCGTGTCACAAGAAAAGTCGGGTCTTTCTACCAAACCCATCAAGAAGATAGCCGCCATCGGCCGGCGTGGCACCTCCTTCGTGGGCAAGCAGATTCAGAGTAGGATGAATAACTTCCAAGGTGTGGGTGTAACGGCAAGACCGCGCCTCAAGCGGTCTGCTGCTATAAACTTCAGTGACCCCAATGCTGCGCCAGGCTCAACTTCTTCGCTCGAGGGCCACGTGAGCCTCGTGTCGCAGCATCTTCGAGGACAGCTCTCGCACGATATCTGGGCCATTGCGTTCGCGCTATTCCTGGTCACACTTATCGAGACATCTCATTCGATTGCGGACTCACGCTCTTACAGCGTCTTCAACTTCTTGTTCGAGATCGTGTCGGGATATACCAACATCGGATTATCCATTGGCCTGCCGGACCATTCATTTAGCTTCGTGGGCGGCTGGTACACAGGCTCAAAATTGGTCATGATCGTAATGATGATCCGTGGCAGGCACAGGGGCCTCCCGGTCGCGCTAGACCATGCCGTCAAGCTGCCTGGGTGGGATAATGTGAAGAAGCAGAACGAGGATGCTGAGATTAGACGTAGTCTAGGTAAGAGCCGGACCACTTTAGAAATATGACAAAGAATTATTTGTACGATAGAATATATCTCGACGTATTCCGACTCTGAATACACGAGTAAGATACAATAAAATACAAATAAAGAGTCTAATGATTACCTTTTTGATTGTCCTCTGTTATCTCGACATGGTCAGTTAAAGCTTTTTGAACCTTGATATCTTCCAGAGCTGGCCTCGTCATGAGGGCAAGGCGTCGAGCTTCCTTCCAGCTAATACTCCTACCACCTTCATGCTTAATGCTAAAGAGGTTGTCGATTTGCTCCAAAGATAGATTTGCAGTCTCAACATACCAACGCCAGATAATGGGAAGGAAGCAGATGTTAGTAATAGCATAAACGCAATACTTCCATCCAATGCTGTCGATAGCCGTAGGTGTGATGACAACGACCACATAGACAAAGATCCAGTTAACTGCAGTAGCAATAGAGGTCCCCGTATTACGCATTCGCTGCGAGTTGATCTCGGCAGGGTACATGTAAGGAATAGAAAGCAATGACAAGCCGTAAAAGACGTAGTACATGAATATGAAAGCGACGGCCAAAATCGACATGCTCGTGTTATTGCTACCCGGACCGTCATAGCGTAGACCGACGGCGACCACAACGAAGCAGAGAGAACTGGCTGTAACTCCGAACATCATGAGCCGTCGCCGACCCACGCGATCGATAAGGAGAGCGGCCAGGCCGCCCCAGAACATGAGTTGCATGTTGTCGCAAGCTGATAAAATCAAGGCCATTCGATCTGTCATACCGAAAGATCTGACAAGAACGACAGGGAGGTAGTAGGCGATGACGTTGACACCTCCCATCTGCTGAAAAAAGGGTGTACCAGCGCCTAGCAAGATGCGTCGGAAAGTCATTTGTTGGCCGCCGCCGAAGATTTCCTTAAGCGTAACCGAGCTTTGTACTTCGTTTTCATGAGTGACGGACACTTCAAGTTGCTGTATCTCTTGAACCACTGCAGGGTCATCGATGGGCTTGTTGAGAAGGAGCACAAGGGTTGCTTTAGCTTGAGTGATTCTGTTCGTCATAACCAGCCATCTCGGGGACTCGGGGCTAACGAAAACTAAGGCGATGGTGACAATGGCGAAGAAGCACTGAAAGGCTAGAGGGAAGCGCCAACTAATAGGGCTATCCGGTATATAGGTGAATCCATAGTTCATCCACTACCATAACGATCTTGTTAGCTCAAAACTCGGGGCTAAGAGAAGGCGGGGTGTAGTATATACTAACATTGGTAATGACGATGCCAAAGATGTTAGTGACCAGTTGAAGGACAATCAGTTTGCCACGGTTGTGAGCCGCGGCTGTTTCGGCCTGCCAAATTGGAATCGCAATAGTATTCATGCCGTTACCAACACCAGCTACGATGCGGCCAGCAATCATGGGCGCAAGGGAGTAGGAAGCGGCCTGGAGAATCCCGCCAACGACGAGGACAGCACAGCCGATTAGAATGGATTTCCTTCGGCCAAGCTTATCACCAAAGATCATGGACACTACGGTGCCCATGATACAGCCAATATCATATGTGGCGACAATTTGACCTTGGATAGTGCTGCTTGGATTGTTGAAGGTTTCGAGAAACGGTTTATTGCTTAGCAAGCCGCCGAAAACGCCCTGGTCATAACCAAAGAGCAAAAAGCCAGAGCCACATGCAATGGTGACACTGTGTCTAGCGAGACTGCTTTTCATTGTGTTTGATTTGATGAAGAAGTCTAGCAAATGTGCTATGAGGAAGATGTGGTTAAAATATCTGGTTTTTTGTATTACACCCATGGCAGGTTTCAACACTTTATATCAATGTAATTAAACATTGGAATCATAGAGCTCAGTTCCTAGAGTAATCCCAAACAACCCCACCCAACCCCCCAAGATGCGACCTGGGGTACATCGTGTCTGGGGTACATCGTGTCTGGGGTACTCCGTAGTGTAGACCGGGTTTGGCATTGCCGCCCTAGCGTCCTGTTCTGCGCTACATTGGGAGCGCAAACGCATAATTTCGGTCAATCAACCACGCTAGCGAGGTACGATTATCAAACGATTGGCTGTGTGAGGTGTGATATCCGCTTACACGTCAGGGATCGGCTATATTCCTGATTGGTTGGGCGGCAGTTGAGGAGGATGTTTCCTTTGTATGAAATGTGGTATTCGTTGTTCGAAATCAGGATATCGGGACGAAAAGGATAGAAACTTGACAGTCGCTGACGTACACAGATTCCTATCATGTATGGCTCTTGTAATGAAGCTAGGCCACTGGCACGTTAAAACCTACAAATCATCTAAGCCCTCCTCTTTCATTGAACCGGGACGAAGAAGTTTTCGGTGGGTTAGACGCTGTAGCCGCAGTTAGTAGCTACAACATCGCTCGCACCATCACACAGCCGCGAACGTTCAGCCGACCCTTCAACCATGTTGGAGTATCTGTGCCAGACGCGAAGTCGACGGTCCATTGTTATGACCAGGTGCTCGACCTCCAGCTCTTTGAAGACATCTGCCACATAAAGCGCTTAGAAAACCCCCAACGACCCAATCTTCAGCATATATCCGGAAATCTTTCAGGAAGTCAAGCTAGCCAAGAAGGCTACTAAAAATGGAGTAGGCTTTGAGATCTTTCAATTTATCAAATCGCGTTTCAAGGCCGCAAAGACTTTTGAGTATGAGCGAGGTGGATTCTTCCACATTTATGTCATAGATCCGGGTTAGGAGACCTTAGCAAGGAAGTTCGAGGCTAAGGGAGGGAGAAGGGTCGGAAAAACGGTCAACCCTTCTAGTAGGGGTAAGATCTTCTCTTTATATCTGGCCGACCCTTGGGACAATATCGTCGAGGTATCGGACGTTGGCTTCGAGGTTGTGGGGTGCAATGCCGTGTTGTAGATCACTTCTTTGAGACATAAAATATCAACACTCAATTATTCCGTCCAGTCTGATACAACTGGATCCTGCCAGGCATTTCTCCGTCTAAATCACTGTCGTACTCGTGCTAATTGACACTACCCTAAACAAATCAGGCGCCAACGAGTCTACTTACCAAGCGCCACCGGTCCTTCACAGCTCAAGCCAACACAATCGAACACGTTTCGACGGTCATCTTCCCCTCCGATATCGATTCATGTCACAAAAGCGTTCCACAAAGATAGTTCTCAATAATGTAAGCAAGAAGAACATATTCTCGATTCGCGAGATGATCTATTATGCGCCAGATCAGGGTCAACTTTAAGATAGCCGAACCCAGAATCATTCGGGACCCATTACGCGGCATATTAGATGGCCATTTTCGCCACTAAATCCGCCAAGTTCTCCGGGGGCTTTAGTGCGAAAGTCCGACTTACGTGTACGTTTTAAGCGATGTTTACAGGTGAGGGGCTTTCCCAGACATCGTGCCCAGACGGGTTAAGACTCGGGGGGACAAAACCGTTGAGCGGAGTAGATATTAACTTTGGGTTCGCAAGAGCGCCCCCGAGCGCCCCGCCCAACCCTTCGCGCTAGATGCGGAGAAGCCGCCAGCATTAGCTTGTCGGATTACCTCCCCCGAGCAGTTGCAAAGTTTTAGGGAAATGTAGGCTAGCTTGCAAGTATTGAATAGAACAAACGCAAATATCAAAGGTTACTTATGCTCATTACGACATTACGAGGACTGAGGCACACAACTCTTTCCATGTTAGAATTTCTTTCGTCACATTTTACATGATGCCTAGACAAAAGCTCCGAATTGCTGTTGCTGGACTCGGCCGTATGGGTAAGCCTCCGTACTAAAAGAATCTGGAAGATATATTATCCTAACAGCATGAAGGCAAGCGTCATGCTATCAATTTTCACGTGCATACCTACGATGCCCAGGTTGTGGCTGTGACTAGTCCGGTCGAAAGCGAGCGTGAATGGGCTAGGCAAAACATTGATGGTGTGAGCGTTTACGACGATTATGAATCCATGCTGAGCGATCCTCGCATCGAAGCTGTTGTTGTAGCCACCGTCACAGCAGTTCATGCAGAGCAGACCCTTGCTGCTGTTGCGAAGGGTTATCATGTCTTGTGCGAGAAGCCTCTTAGTCTCGACTTCAATATTGTGTGTGAAGCCCTATTCATGATCACAGTACCGCTGCTAACGTGCTATTATGCTCCTCTCAGGCCCAATCCGTACTCGACGCTTACAACAATTCTCTACAAGTCCATCCTAGCCAGAAAGTCATGTGCGGTTTCTCTCGCCGGTTCGATGCCTCCTACCGAGAAGCACATGAAAAGATGACAAGTGGAGATTGGGGGAATCCTGTGATTTTTCGCTCTCAGACGGCAGATCTTTACGACTCATCAGGCTTTTTTCTTGACTATGCCAAGACGAGTGGTGGAATTTTTGAAGATTGCTCTATCCACGACATTGATCTTCTGCTCTGGTTTTTTGGGGAAAAAACCAAGATCAAGAGCTTGCAGGCCATTGGCACAAATGCCCTGCATCTTGGACTCTCAGAATCCAATGATCGCGATAATGCCGTTGCTACCCTTGAGCTCCAGGGCGGCAAGATTGCGACTCTGTATTGCACGAGAATCATGGCTGCGGGACAGGAGGACACTACTGAGATTATTTGTCAGAAAGGGTCTATACGGATCAACATGCAAGGACGCAAGAATCATCTCGAGATACACGACGCTCACGGGTCGAGACGTGAACTTCCGCAGCACTACTATGAGCGGTTCAAAGATGCTTTTATTACAGAGGCTTCTGAGTTCACAGCATGTTGTTTGCATGATCAACCTCCTCCTATTGAGCTTGAAAGCTCAGTAAGAGCTATGGCTATTGCGCACAGCCTGCAACAAAGCTTGATTTCCGGGGAGAAGTTGGTTTTTGCAGAGGATTCCAAACTCTAGGTGGAAACAATATAGTTGCGATATAGTTTAGGCATCTTTACCGATATTGAATTAAAACATCTTACCAAAGGTGTATACAAGCCATATTCTGGTGATTGAACACTCGCCATTTTGGGCACAAATGCAACTGAAGCAGCACGAGATATATGACTCATCAGATAATAACTTGAGAGCACTAAATTTGAGACCATAACGCTCTCTGATTATACCAATTAAGCAAGAGCGTGTTATTTATGAATCGAGTCCTCGGCTATAGACGAGATAATCGAAGTGATACTATAGGTTTCCCATCGAGTTTCCCATCGGAAAGTGCATGCCCCAATCTAGATCCAAACCCATATTGATATCGATCAAATCTTCCAGCATCTGCGGGTCCAAGTCTACCCTGCCTGGAATTTCAAGATCTGACTCGCGCCTGCGCTTCCTGTACTCGAGCTCAAGATCTGATTGTGCCGAGCGGACCTTGAGCTCCCATTGCCTCCGAATCAGTAGGAGCAAATCGCGAGCTCTCTTGGCGCTGTCCCAAGAAAAGCTTGCCTCGTCAAGGGCTCGAAAACAAGATGTCAGGTATACCTCGATTTGGTCTTCGTCAGAATGAAAGTGGGTCGTTACGGCAAAGATGAGTAAGAGAGCAGCCGAGCATGTGATTCCGACAGCTTGGGTATTGACTTTTCGCAAGTCGTAATTCGTCTCATAAACCTGCAGCAGCTTCGCAATAGATATCGCTGCATTCATACACATCATCCGTGCGTGACCAGAACCGGGACCTTGGGGTGGAAACGGTTGACAATAGGTTTTTGACATGTAAGGCCTATGGGCGTGGATGATGTTCTGGTGATACTGCATGCTATGATCGTCAATGGAGTTCGTAGCATAGCTACCGATGGAGCTTACTGTAATAGAAGAACATGGGGTTCATGTCGGCAATGCGAATTGTCCAGATCCACTAAGAGTGAAGATGGTAAGTTTTCCTTCCATGCTAACAGCGTCGCAACTGTGCTGGCATTAACCTCCTGCAGCTGTCCGCAGGGAATCTTGAGGTCGCCATAACTAGGATTCTTGTTAATATCTGCAGCATTTCAGGTAAAGTGAAAGTAGATTTACAGAGCATTAGCGACTGGCGCCATGATTCCAGCCATGTTCACCTGTGCCTGATGAAGCTGGACAAGACTATTTGACAATGAAGCTCCCACGAGTATGGTTTCAGACATGCCGTATGAAGACCACTGGGTTTCGCTGCCAGGATATGCCCCAACCTCTGGTTTTGCGACAGTGATATCCTCCGTATGCATCCTAAATGGCTGCCCGACGTAAAAGCCCCAGCTACTGTGATGAAGGTCAGCCATCTAAGCCAAGAAATTTTGTACGAGGGCTTTCACTTCTCAATAATATATGTACCCCAAAAGATTTCTCGTCGCAGTGCGGCTTCAGATTCACTCAACAAACCTTGGGAGACGTGAGCAGTTGTGTCTACGTGGAGACCCACATCAAAAGCAAGTCGTAGAGCCATCCCTGTAAGCATCAGCCGTGTGAATTTAGGATTTGGTTGATCTATTCCTACCGCTGGACAGCCAGCCTCGTGAATCCCTCATATACCCGATATCGTGACTGCTTAACACTGCTAGAGCTTGTACAGTAGCGACGCAGGGACTTTCAAGCTCTATTTCAAGGAGGCTCTTGGCCCTGTCAGCGAAAAACTCAGCAAGCGACCTCGGGAAGGTAATCAGGATTGGATGATGACGTGTTTCGAACGCGGCACCTATCGCGCACCTGTCGAGCAGCAATTAGATCTTTCTTATGCATGCGTTGTAGGTGGCACTCACAAGGCGTTCTTTAGAGATTCTGAAAAGTAAGGCGATTCTTCTCCATCATCCCATCGGCTTTTTGCCTGATAAAACATATGCTGGTTGACAACATGGAGAACGGGGTCCTGCCAGGCGAAATATAACTTGATAAGATGCTCCTCGAGAGCACAAGGTACAGACTTATTGAGACCAAGTCGGCCGAGCAGGTCATTTCCATCGTTTCTGATGGTCCGACGCGCGGCAAATACGTCAGGGAATGGTAGTTGGGCGAGGCTAAAATTCGAGGTGGGACCGTAGTATCGTATATGTCCCCCAGCGCGTATTTGCAAGCTGCCGATTCGGTCGGAGAGCTGATCGACCAAATCTTCGGTCTCGGCTGTCTGTCCCGTGCTTCGGTTGGTGTATGGTGAATGGAACCCATGCAAGTCTTCCTTACTCAGAGGCCGGACATCCCCGGCGACACCACTGGCGTGTCCCGATGTCGCAAGTTCTGATGGGTTTCCATCATTTGAGCCCCCTAACTCCTGGTAGCATAGTCGCAGGGCTTCAACGTATGAAGCTGAGGTGGCATCGACCGTGGGCTTGTTGTCCGCTATCTCAAACATCGACGAAGCGTCGCAATCAAGATACTGCTGCGACGAGGAGTTTTTGTCGCTGGCCGTATCCGGCAGAGAAGCTGTCTTGGGTCGCACATCTTGTTGTTTCGGGATTGATGTTGTCGAGTTATTCTGTGTAGGTCTGAGGTCATGGCTAAACAAAGCGTGCGGAATTCGCTGGTACTCCAAAACCTTCAGAAGGAGTTGGTGATCTTCAGCATACATGGGCGGTGCTGCAAGGCCATTTTCGGTAATGACATGGTGCAATTGCTCGATATAGCCAGAGAGTAGTTCAACAGCAACGCGCAGAGTCAGCCTGGCTTACAAACCATCAGCTTTTGTTAGCATTGAAAGGTGTAACATCTCGGGGAGCTCTACCTGCGCTTATCATCTACTGTCTGTGGTCGACAAATCTTACGTTTCCCTTTGCAATGCGAACAAGGGATTGCGCCGTCGCACTGCCCGCCAATGTCAGAACTTTGTACACGTGGAAGCTCTCATACTATCGAAGGCCAGACCTTTATTTTACTCTCTTTGCACGGTACACAGGCTACCCTCGCTGGCGTGTTTTTTTGGGCAGTAGACATGGCCTAATGTGATGAACGGATCTGAGAGTGATTTCAATAGGACATTGGAAGTGGAGGTTTTACTTGGGGTGGGGGATGACTGCCTTCTATGGAAACACCTACTAATAGTACGCATTTGCGGGGGGATTTGCAATTTTGGTAAGGTGATTGGACAAGACAGTAAGTAGCGATGTGGAGTCCCGATAATTTACGCATGTCTCATAACCAGGGTCTATCATTCATTTCTTGATTGGCCACATGTTCATGGGTCAGCCATTTGTTTCCTAGAACGGACGGGAGCGATGGTGGTTGTGTTGCCAAACGGTGATTTGCCGACCACTTTGACAGCGGGGCTTACTTTTGGCGTGACTTCCCTGATGTGTAAAGGTACATCTACTATCGCGGCTCACATTGACCTCCTCATCTGCCACCGAAGCAGTTAAGTATAGCCTGAGTGATGAGGACTGATCACGGTCCACCGTAAGACCAGCTGGGACGAACTCGGTAATGAGTTGTAAGGCGAGGAAGAGAAAATCAGTACGAAATCAGAGGAGTCTAGTCTAAAAATGACACCATCTCACGAAAATTCGCCTCGATGGCTAAAAGATTCCTCAAAACAATTCTGAGTGTATTTTAGAGTCTCATAACTGGCGGTTTCACCGAGTCATGGCCCCATAGGTCTGACCATATCAGGTTTGAGGTCTCCTACACAGCTTGCGCCAATGTTGCTCATGGTGTTTATAATCTCTTGACGTAGAACTATAAACAGACCGTATTAGCTCGCTTGGCCATTTGCAAACTATTCAACAAAACGTCACTTACTCTGCAATATCCTGGAAACGCCTTCTTCGCCGTGTGTACCGTTGGCATACAAGAAGGGCCTTCCAAGGCCAACAGCCTTGGCACCGAGGGCCAGTGCCTTGACGACATCGGCGCCAGAACAGAAACCTCCATCAATCATAACCTCGATCTTGTCGAATAAGTCTGGTCGTAGAACCCGAAGCTCATAAAGCACATCTATTGGTGCAGGCGCACAGTCAGCTTGTCGGCCGCCGTGGTTTGACTATGAGAGCTGTTAAATAATCATGTAACACTATGTCGATTGTGGTTACACACTAGTATCACGCCTTGTACCCCGTGATCCACGCACAACTGGACGTCATCCACACACTGAATTCCTTTGAGAATTAGCGGTAGTGTGGTATTTTCCTTCGGAATGTATGTCAATACCAATTCTCAATGGCAGGTTCTCGCACCTGACTCACTCGGATGAAATCAACGTCTTTCCAGCTTAGGTTGAAGTCGTGGGATCCCGCAATGGACTCGGATATGCCTTTCGATCTGGAGGCTGATGGACTCTTCAAAGAGTTCGAGTCCCTAGGAGTCGGATTTGCAAGATGCTTCTCTCGAACATCAAGTGTTCGCTTCGATTGCCGCATGACATCGACCGTAAGAACAATAGCTCTTGCGCCAAGACGATCAGCCATCTGGATATTTTGCGCGGACTTTTCGCGGTCCTTGTCTAGGTAAACCTTGAAAGTGCCTGGTCAAATTGCATACAAACACAGCATCGTGTGTGCGCTGGTCAAACATACTTGGTAGAATAATGGCTGCTTATCCCTACTGGCTGCGAATATTTCCTCCAGGCCGCAGCTGGCGTCGGTAGAAATCTGTTTCCGGATACTGAGTACAACTTGACGATGTAATGCGTAGGAGGTCATACCATCTGAATGATTCCCTCGGATGCAGCTGCCTTGGTGAGATTCACTTCGCCAAGAGGGTGACCAAGCTTGGCCATGGCAGCAGGGGAGATCATTATAGGCAAAGACACAGGAACACCAAGAATATTCGTACTTGTTTCACCGCGTAACGTGCCTCGCAGAATCCGAGGCCTGAAGAAGTATCTCTTCAGAGCGTTGCCATTTTCGTGGAAAGCTGTGTGAAAACGTCAATATGACAGCCGAAAGCCTGTGTGATCATGATCGGATACTCACAAATCTCATAGTCCGATGCGCTACGGTAATATGCCCAAGCAACATTACTTAGCACCCTTTCGGCCCAATGTTCGAAATCCTCTACCAGGAGCATATTATCTGCATGAGGCATCGCTTCTCGGGCCTCTGACCGCTTCACGTCACCGCCGTTGAATTCATCCTCTTCCTCCTCGGGAAGCGTCCCCAGGTCAACAGAACCCAGGCAATATTCGGCTGGCAGTGTGGCGAGCGCTGTAGAAGGATGGAGCGAGGTGAATAGTCGGCTTGGGGGCAGGATATATGTTGGCTTTCATTGTTCCTTGGCTTTGTGGAAACGCCGGAATTTTGACGCACCTGGCATCTTTGCCTGCTTTTGCCAATATAGCATTGGCTCCTCCTGGGTGTACTTGTAAGAACTCGGTCATGTCGTAGACGAGGCCCTAATCTTCTTGTCAAAGAGGCCTTGTGGTACACAGAGCATCGATCCTGACGAAAACACCTACTTACGTTGATGATGACCCAGCAGTCGTTTGCAGTTGCGTGTCTTGAAACCTCCTCGAATGAGATGACAACGTCCCTCGTCGAATCTTCAAGGCTGGGATTGTCAGTTTGGAAGTATAAGACATTGTGGAGGCAGTCACAGCCGAGGTTAGTCCCTGGTAGTGTCAGACGAAGCTGTAATGTTTATGCGGTGTTGTAATGAAGTATACCAGGAGTAGTGCTGCAGTAACAAATACATGATTGGATATGCCTTTTCGGGCCCGGTGAAAGTACTGATCATTTTGTGTAGAGAATTCGTAATGAGTGATCTTCGGGATTGCCAATGCTTTGCATCTTGCAGGCATGAGTCGACGCGCAGAACGACGCGTTCCTAGCCACGACATCGGGGAATATGCGATATTGCCGCCCATCAGGAATCTAGGTAAGGGCATTCTGCTGCTAGACTATGGTCTCGCCTTTCTTTGATTTTGAGCACTTGAAAACGTTCGTTCACGAATGACGATGAAGTAATATTCTCAAGTACCTGTTCTCTTACGGCGCACTCGGCTCTTTTTCTGTATACTGGCAAAACTCGACTATATCGAACAGCAAGCGCGAGACCAAAAGGGTCCATTGGCCAGCGGAACATGATTCATGTTGCCAAGAAAAGCCTCCGGCCGGCGAGCTTTGACTGGCGTCGCTGGGTCCACCTTCTCTCATTACCCCGCCTCCCGCAAATCGAAATCGAACTCTGGGGCTAGGTAATTAATGAGGACCAAGGTTTCGGCAAGATTCTTTCGCTCGTATGGTGCCTCGCATTTCCACCCCCGATGATTTCGCATTTCTGCCCCCGACGAATGCATGCTGGCAATTTTTCCCCGCCTCCTTTGCTCGCGCTGACCGCGCCACTCGACTCATTCTTGTTCAATCTCCCGCGAGGCTGATTTCATTTGCTTCGTGGTTCTTGAATTGAAACGGCTCTTGTTCGATGTTGGCTATGCTATTGCACAATCTCACAAGACGTAGTCCCTCAAGGCAGAATGTCCGCAACAAGTTCAAATATATATCATGCATTCCTCCATGTCCCTGGTTGATATGATCTATGCTTACATCCATATAACTTTATTCAAACTTTCTTCTTGATCCCAACAACACAAGACATCAACGAAACATGGCTGCAGCTGTCGCAACAACCCTGGCCAACATAGAGGCTACCTCGGACAAGATCGATGAGGTCAACGTGCTCAAAGTAATGAGCAAGCAGAGCGATCTTTACGATGCCTCCGAGTTTGACCAAGCAAAGGATAAGGCCACATTCCGACAGTTTGAAGATGCACAGGACCAAGTCAAGGACTTTTACGCCACGCAGCACACACGTCAGACCGTTGCCTTCAACCTTAAGGCTCGGAACGATTTTTACAGCAAGACCCGCGCTCATATGGGCGTCTGGGATGCTATGGAGAAGCTGGATACCTTCATTGATGAGTGCGACCCTGATACTCAAGCATCGCAGATGACCCATCTACTTCAAACTTCCGAGGCCCTCCGTAAGGATGGCAAGCCTCGCTGGATGCAGCTCGTCGGCCTTATTCATGATCTTGGGAAGCTTCTCTTCTTTTACGGCGCCGATGGTCAATGGGATGTTGTTGGTGACACGTTCCCTGTTGGTTGCGCCTTCGATGATCGTATCATCTTCGGAAAAGAGTCATTCAAGAACAACGAAGATTCTAAGAACCCCATTTACAGCACTAAGTTTGGCATCTATACACCTGGGTGTGGACTCGACAACGTTATGCTATCTTGGGGACACGATGAGTATCTTTATCATATTGTGAAGGAACAACCAACTATTCCGGATGAGGGATTAGCAATGATTCGTTACCATTCTTTCTATCCCTGGCACCGAGAAGGTGCTTATCACGAGCTCATGAACAAGCACGATGAGAAGATGCTCAAAGCTGTCAGAGCGTTCAATCCGTATGATTTGTACTCAAAGTCTGACGACCCACCGAGCGCCGAATCTCTCAAGGTACGCCATATATGTCCTAATTTGAAATGATTATACTAATCACACGCTATTCAATAGCCTTACTACTTGGAACTTATCGATGAGTTCTTTCCACAGAAGATTATTCGATGGTGACTCATAGATGATCTGTACTTTAGCTGTATTATCTAGTAGATAGATAATAAGATCTCAAAGCTATCCTATGAATTATAGAATAGCATCAGTGATATTACCTCGTTAATTGCTCTGCTTACCAAATGGCTTATTGGTAAGCAACATATCCCGAGGCCAATGCTGACCAACTATTCCAAGACTAATTTCCCAACACACTGCTGATGCCTTTCTTTCCTGAAGCTTGAGTCCAGTCACTCGAAGACCTTAGTACGCTGTTCGATGGACTTGTTCATGGGCCTGCGAAAGGCAATAGTCGAGACTGGTATGGGTTTTGTCTACCTTAGTCTTAGTAGATACTCTACATAGCCGCACCCGGGGAAAGATGCTATCGAAACTATTGAGCCAGTCGTTTACTATAGGGGGTGAAGGGACAGCATTGCTTGTGATTTGCAACCAGGTCCTCTTTGGCAAATAGACCACAATCTACTAAGCAAGAACAAATTTGGCAGGGATTGGGAGATTTCCTAGCCCCCACGAGCTGCATTAACGGATGGAACGAAGTGGAGGTGATAGTCCCTATTCGTGTACTGTCTATAGAACACATGTACAGTAGTAAGCTCGTGGGCCACTTGAGACCTTGATGGGTGACACTGTGGATGTCTGGGAGGATATGCCCAAAGCCAAAATGGCGGCAACCGCCATCCTAGCCAGGTCGACGTTTCCTGCAGAACCTCGGGAGTTTGAATTACACGGCGTCCAGGCTTGCCCTTGTTCTCTGCCGGGTGATCAGCGAGACGTCATGGAATGCCTCAGCGCCAGCGTTATACGGTCCAGTCAAGATCGTCGCCCATCCTGCTGCAATACCTTAGTTTTCGACTGTTCTGATGCCAAGACCCCGAACACACTCCGGCAATATAACATAGCCTTCAGGTCGCATCGAAGGAACGTAAGACAGCCGCAAAAACCATTAGATCCACGGAACAAACTAAAAGTCTTTGGGTAATTCAGGATCTGGTCTCAACTCAAACAAAGGTAAATCAGGAGAAAACCAGGGTCTACATGAGGGGTCAGACAAATGGAAAGGGAAGTCATAGTGAAGGATGGAAACCCAGGGATAGTTGTTCAGTAAGCCGCTCATAGCCGAGCAGGAAGGATTGAATCAATCGTTCAAGTTCAACTCTAAGTATACTTGCGGGGCATTCGCTGTTGGTCATGCCTTACTGGTTATGAAAACCCGCTTCAGTCGATTAAACCACCCCGCATAGTAAGCTGCCAAGCTTGCTTCGAGTTAAGGTTCTTGACTTATCAACTGCTTACTCCCCTTGATAGGATTCATCCGGATTCAATGGAACCACTCGGATAGGTTGACTAGCCTGTATAGTAAGCTGAATGAAGGGGGGGCGTTCGCTTTATTGTCGATATATTGTCTTAGTACGGTCTGAGGAGCAGAAATTGAGGGATTTTACCTTAGGCTAGCAATCCATCATCTGCAATGTTACATCGTATGCGCCTGGGCAGGCCGCTGTTCTATGTCAAGAAAGAGATACTACAAAATTTCTCTCGGCGTAAGCGCTATAGACACCCAAAAGGGCAGTTGTTGTAGACTTGCAGGCCAATACTTCAAGACTTAATGCCAAGAAGCGGGCATACGAGAGGCGTGTCTTGGAACAAAGAACCTCGCGATCTCGTCCTGTCCGTTGGTTACCTGCCAGACCGCGCGCACAACTCGATAGTAGTTGAGGACATTAATTGCGATGCGCGATTCATAAAGATGTATTCTGAGGGACCTGGGTCAAGTAAGTGATGCGAATGGCTCGGCATGAAGAATCTAATGAAATGGCGGTTCGACTCAATGCCGATGGGGAAAACGCCCGCGAATTACAGAGACTTTGACCGGGGCGGTGGCGATGCCCTCACATGTTGTCAACAGATGCATACGACACTTTGAACTAAGGTCAGCTAGCGACTGGCGCCCCATCTGCGATGTGGTAAGACGGCACAGGAGGGACCAACATATCACGACGCTGCGGAGTCATCGGTGCCTCTTTCTCTTGTTGAAGATGATAGAGATAGTGGTAGGGACAACGTGGGCACGAATGGGTATAAAGCCAGGTCGCTTCCTCCTTGATGATGGTTCTGCTTTTTTCCTTCCTCATCATCGGCCTCTGTCTTTTCAATCCTAGTAGTATCGTAACAAATACCATCACCATTCGCATTCAATATGCATTTCTCATCGCTCCTCCTAGTTCTCGCGGCCACCGCGTCAGCCATCGACATCAGGGCTCACACTGCCGATAACTGCGCCGGTGGCTCAGTCGCTTGCACGAACATCAATCCTAACGTGTGCTGTTCGTTCAGCAGCTCAGCAAGTAGCGGGAGATCGAGTATTGCTGTGGTTGCCGTAGGTGAAAGCCTTTTGTTTTGCCAGCAAAACTTTCGTAACTAATGAATGTCGAGCACAGATCCCGAGCAACTGGCGGATCCGCACTGAGGCATACACGGGCGGCGGTTGCTCATTCTTTGGGGGTCAGCGCGATTCGGGCGGTAGCACATCCGTCTGTCTGCCTTACACGACACGCGGCGACCGCACGGGGGGCCAATATTGGTTCCTTAACCGCAGGCGTGCTGTCGACGAGTCGTGCCCTGCTGAGCAGCCCGGTACCGGGAAATGCGAAGCTGTCGTCGAACCCGATACGCTCGGCCTCGCGGACGGCACTGAGTACAACATCGTCGGCCTGTCGGATGAGAAACTTTGGGAGTTGGTGAGTTGACTTGAGCGTTGAGAAAAAATAACGATATGCATGACATTTAGACGAGATTCTAACCTGTTTGCCTTGCCTAAAGGAGAAAATTGCCAACGCTGGCGCCGGTGCCGATGCCGTGCCCGTCGAGTTCCAGTCTCTGCGTAAGACTGAGTCCTAGGACCATACACGAGCCCCTGACCAGGATCAGGTAATTATGTTGAGAGGCATGGATATAAGCAAGATCGAATTGGAAGTGTTCAAGCGGGGTTCAGCTATGCGGGTTTGTTATGACGTCTGTAACTAGCAACTATCCGGCAAACTACAGTGAACCAAGATCCAAGGAAACTCAAACTTTAACGGGAAATGACGGCTCATGCTTAACTGTGATGAATAGTATGACAGGAATGCTGCCTGTTTACTAGCACAGCTCAAGGATCTAGAGGCATAGTGGCGATACATTGTCTATTTGTTGCTATCAGCGGCATATTGATGTATTGTTCTAGACAAATCTCCTCAAGGTACATCGATCTGGGTAATATCATGGGCTTGCAAGAAACTTATAGAAATGTCGAGTTATTTTCTCTAAAGCCTACTTTGTTCCAGCCTGGATATGTTTTCTCATACGTTTCCGCATTCTATTGGCAGCTTGGTATTGTTTTACCGTTACTAACTGGGTACTCACCAGATACACTCTGTCCCAACCAAAGGAAATGGGGCAAACAATCCCTCTAAAAACATAAGATATTAGTTACTCTGAGTATCAGGGTTTCCCAAATTTGCCTTCGGGATATATTCCCTCCATTAGTTCTCCTCTTCTTCCCGTATGACTCGAAGGGTAAGCACCTGGCACAACGTAAGTCTTGCAAGCCCAGGCTATGTTGTTCATACTAGAAAAGTCAAATCCACGTTAATAAGAAGTTGAGCCCTTTTTGACCAGAGAATTCATATTTCACGTACGAACATGATCATAAATATGGCCCCTAAGCGCTGGTGCTCTCTTTTAGGCTTTTTGTAGTAGTGAAAAAAAGGTTTAGATCACGTAGCATTTCCGCCGTCAGGCATTAAGGTAGTCGAAACGCAAGGGTGGCTATAACTTATTTTAATTCAGGGAGCTACAAAACACCTATCCCTTATTTGTGTGTAGGGAATTATTCAATTCTTCGTCGAAGACTTAGTCCTTCCATTATGAATGAATGATTGCATACAAAAATATAGTGAAGATAATTTAGTGCCCAAGGAGCGGTCTTTTTCGAATTCAAATCTCACCATTTCTTACATATAGAGTATTGTCACATAATTCTTGGTAGTGTGCTAGTTTACGACAAGAACGATCAATTTTTTCATGGTTTTCTTGAAGACTGAGAGAACTTATTACTCTTAACATCATTGCGATTCTTTTTTTACTAAGAAGTCGCGCTTCAAGAGTCGTGTAATACAAGAGGAATGCCGGAAGAGATGTCCGACCTGGCGACGAATAAATCTATAGCCGGTTTGGACTTTTCTAAAGAAAGAAATAACAGAACATGCAACCGAACATGCAATCGAACATGCCAACGTGGTTTTTTACAAGGTGTACGATAATTATGCGATGCGAGGAATGATCAAGATGAAGCCAAAAAAGTATAACGATCGGAATGACGGTCGGCGTAATGGCACTGTGGATTCCCAATTAGTAGACAGGCATGACTTAGGTTGGCTAATATCATCTTCATGAATCTGTACTTTAATAGAGTTTGAGATCTTCCTTCTAAGCATTGCGGGCCGAGCCTGTGACAGACAAACTGTGTTATACACCCATGGGGTTAAGCCAATGCAACTTCAGCTCGGTCCGCCTACGCACAGATCTCCCAGAATGCTTCGATACGATACACTGGCGGCATGTCTCTTCCGTACTATAGCACGGACATTGTGCCATCGTCTTCGGTGAAAGCCCGAAAACAGGTTATTCCGCTTTACCGAGGCCATCGTTGCACATATGCTGACTTTTGAGGCTTGTTCATTGGCCTGTCTCAATCGAAGAATGGTTCCCAGCTCCCCCACTGAAGCTAGGGTCTCGGCACAGGCCCCCTGATTGGGAACATCTTCCATCGCGGGGTTCCCTCAAGAAGAACGCAGGGGTCAGAGTCAATTTCGTATCACGCAGTTGTAAGCTCGTTCTGGTACTCAACGCGGCCTTACGTACGAATGTGGAATCGCGTCAAGTTGTTCACCATGACAAAAGAACTTCGGGGACCACAATGCTTGCTCCATCCTAGCCTGGGAAGAAGAAAAGAGAAAGCCTTATCTATGGTCGGCCACCCGGCCAGCTGAACGAAGCTTTTCACGCTTTCAGTAGTATTATTTAGGATCCTCATTCAGGCCTGACTCCTTTTCTGTCGCCTCTCTCTCTCACTGTCTCTCATTTTGCCCATTATGCTTTTCAAGTCCACATTCGTTCTCTCTCTCGCTTTCGCAGCGGACGCATTCGCTGTTAGACGCGGGTCCAATGACTGGTTTGCGCCTACTTCCGCCGATCGTAAGACTCGCAATCAGATGAATATGCTGTTTTAAGCTCCTGTTGACACTTCTCAGGTCGTAGCCCCTGTCCAATGGTGAACACTCTTGCCAACCACGGGTACCTCCCCCGTAGCGGCTTGAATGTCTCTCTTGCAGACCTGATTGCCGGCTTTACGGCAGCCGTCAATCTGGATCCTGCTGCTACCACTTTGGTCGGGCAAAAGGCTCTCCTCACGTCTACAACTGGCAATAACGCGACGTTTAACCTGGACGATCTTAATACCCATGGCAGTGAGTCAACTCGGACCTTGACATTGTATGCATGCCCTGAAGTCGGTGACAGTCATCGAACACGACGGTAGTCTAAGCCGTAACGACATTTACTTTGGCGACAACCATTCATTCAATGCAAAGATTTGGGAATCGGTAGCGGTCGCCTTCACAAACACTACCATCAGCATCCCAACAGCTGCCAAGGCGAGGGTCGCGCGCTTGCAAGCCGCCGCTGCTGCTAATCCTGAGTTCAACCTGACGGCCGATGGTACTCAATTCAGCTTCATTGAGACTGCTCTCTATCTCTCTGTTTTCGGAAACCTAGATGATGGCAATGCCAACACCGAATGGGTGAAGGTCTTATTCAGTATGTTTGATCTCGCCTTCTCGTTGCCATGGTTCGTATGCTTACACAGAACCCTTAGCGCAAGAACGTCTGCCATTCCGGGAAGGGTTCTCAAGGGCAAGCTCGCCAATCACTGCAGCAGGCATCCTGGGCTTAGTCGCTAAAGTGGCGGCTGCAAGTGTCTGATTGAATGTCTTCAGTTGTTGCAGCATGTGGGCAATGCGAGGATCTACCGAGACGGTGTGCAAATTTCCCTATTCGCATGTGTAGATCTATCCAGAAATTTGATTCCACATGACTGTCTCAGTACATGAACTTCCCTACTATAAGTTGAAGATGTATTTGTAAAATGGTGCCGTCACTAAGCGAATTCGTGCATTGGAGTGTATCATTGCTTGTCTCTCCAGACCATCATGCTGTGAGTGTTAGATATTCATATCCGGTGCGAGAGCTATAGTAGTCAAAACAACATCTGTAAATATGTCGACTGCAAGATTCAAGGCTTGGACGTGGAACAACACCCTAGCATGGCAACTTTCTTCAAGACTGTGGCCTTGTCACCTATATCGCAAAGAAAGGTTCATGTTGGGATGACATTGAGAGATTCTTGACATAGCGCAAGAAGCATATCAGCTGCGATCCATGTTAAACACAATAATAGGACTGCGGTCATGGCTCTGACTGAAGTTTCTAGCCAATTGAATATCGACCTATTGTCTTTTTGTGCGACACTACAGTTCACGGAACATATCAATGTGGGCAATAGCGTACCTGGCACTAGGCTCTGTGTGGCTTCAGTCTTTTCCTAAGAAAAAAAGAGATAGAGGGCATGGGGGGGGGGTAGCACGAACATCACTGGAACCTGACTCACTCGATTCAGCTTCAACCATCAATACGTCATGCTGTTACGATTTGTTGAGTAAACATGCTAATGCCAGCAAGGATAATGCCTTAATACCCATGGTTTACCTAGTTTCTGTTCGCTACAGAGGCTCATGATCCAACGGGTTCCTTGAGATGCATTCCCGCCTCAGGAAAATTGACCCGCAAGTGTTCATGCGCATGTGATAGAGTGCCAGAGTTATGAATGTTCTCAACATTTTACATGTGGACTGGGCGATGCTTATTTGGAGTTTCACACTGCAATCTAGGTTATGTGCATGTACTCCGTACTGTTCGGTCTCTTATCTCCGCTAACACGAACCAAATTACGGAAAATCAGCTATCTGACCAGAGATCCAATGGTACCAGGGATAGTTTTTCTGATGTTTAGATGAAAGGTCCCCGAAAGGTTTTTCCTGTTTGCTCCGGTCTAGCTTACGTGCCTATGTACATCCTTCGTCGCAGCTCATGTGCTTTGACTTCGCCAGCGTCCAAAGCGCTCAGCTCGCACTTGGAAAAGTCGAGAGACTTTCACATCGAATGACGCCGGTCTTCGATAGCCTCGGCTTCGGAACGACTCAGCTTGGATGTGATGCTTCGCATAGCTTCGCATAGCTTCGCATAGCCACACTGAGCCTCGGGACCATATGAAACACTCATGGCTGTACCAGCCAGCAAGATGTTGACCCTGGTCCAAGCACCATGTAGCTTCAGTCAGGTGTCAGTAGGGGCAGTCCTGTCAATACTACATAAGGGTCTGACGTGTTGTCCGAGCTTATTTCGATGTGGGGGTGAAACACGTGAACGTGGAAGTGCCGAGGACCATCATCGGATGAAACTATATATATCAAGTGGTCGATCGCGCCTGCTAAGATTGCGGTTGTTAATCTAGGTAGACTCTTATCGCTCTCTTTCTCGAGGCATCTCTAGGAAAAACTTGTCAGTATGTCTTCTACTCTCACGGCAACTACAGCAAACAAAAGCCAGACTATTAGGATTGAAAGCAAAGATCCTATGAAGTCAACCTGGCGTCGCAGCGACAAACGCACTTGGAAGATCGGCCACTGGATTATCGAGCGACTAGGGCTCTATCATGATGAGCTTGACCGATCTGCGCCCATTCACTCCAAAGCCGAATCAGTGCCTTACGTCCCGCATTGGCAATTCCATCGGTGGATACTGCTACATGCAACAGTACCTCTCCTCCTCCATCAAGGTTTTGTGTCCTTGACTGGATATAACGTTCACCCGGTAGCGGCCTTCGTTTTTTACAGTGTGGCGATCAAGGCTGTCGCCATCCACCAAATTAATATCATGCGCGGTCTCGGCCAACGCTACGGATTCCTCGATGGCGACAAGCACGAACGCGACGGAGTCCCCGACAAAAGTGTCAAAACAGTACTGGAGTCACTTATATCGACGGCTACATTTCGATCGATGATGGCTGTGATCCTCTCGTACCGTTCGAACGAGGCTCCGGTCACAATCAATTGGATGCTTCTTCCTCTCGAGATTGGTCTCTACGGTGTTGTCTTGGATTTTTGGTTCTATTGGTATCATCGACTTATGCATGAGGTCGACTCGTTGTGGAAGTATCACAAGACACACCATCTGACGAAACATCCGAACCCTCTTCTCACGCTTTTTGCGGACAGTGAGCAAGAGTTCTGGGACATCGCCGGTATCCCGTTCTTGACGTGGGCGACGCTCAAGTTCGTAGGGCTACCAATGGGCTTTTACGAATGGTGGTTCTGCCAGGAATACGTCATATTCACTGAATTGACGGGACATAGTGGGTTGCGTCTCTATGCTACAACTCCCACACCTTTCGCATGGCCGCTTCAATTCTTTAACTGCGAGTTGGTGCTCGAGGATCATGATCTCCATCATCGGAAAGGCTGGAAATCCAGCGGCAACTACGGCAAGCACACTCGATTGTGGGATCGTATCTTTGGAACGTGCATGGACAGAATCGAATGCGCTGCCGATTCTGCAGACTACACGAATACGGCTGTCATTCCACTTTTATGAGCACACAAGCAGCTTTTTCGGTATTTAGACGGATATTCTGATCCCATCGTGATGGATAACCTATGTCCATCACGGGCGGTGGAAGCAAAGAATGCCAAACGTGTCGCTCGGATGGAACAACAAGAAGGGTAGAAGGTAGTCACGTACTATCACACACACAGCTAGTACCGCAATATGTGACTATAATATCTTTACCATAGGGTCAGATTTTCTAAATAGAGGGACTATTTGTATTTTTCAATGTTGTTCTTGCCGTATTTATTAAGCTAACAAACAGCCCGTCTTTCCACGGGATGAGCAGCAAATATGCCGCGGAAACAGATATACCTCTCTGATTGAACCTGAGCGTATTGATCAGGCGAACGTGCCAACGCGCAATTACAACAAGATCCTCTGCTCCCCGGCGGCCCGCCCGACGAGCTATCAGGGGACATACGGTTTGAATGGTTGTGAGGCGGTGATACTTTTCTGCAAATGAAGACAACTCATCATATCCCTGTTGGCTGTGTCCTGACTCAGTGCATGAACCCCTCCCAAGCAGGCCTATGCAGTAAGACGTCCTCCGTCTTTCAAAAACAGCGCGATGCAGCTATCTTGCTCTACGAAGAACCAAACATGCACATTCCAGGATATTTAGGTCCTTCATCTACATTAAACAGTTCGTATTTCATGTTCATTGCCGACTACTCAGTACACTCTTTCGGCCTTTCATGAAATCAGACACGGAGTTATTACATGCGCAACATCGGCAGGGGGCCGTGCTTCAACCCAAGATGAAGGCATTATAATATACCTTCGTATAACCCCGAAGGTGCGTGATAGGGAGGAATTTGTTTCCCCGCTCTGCAACAGAATCAAACCAGTATAAAGTTCGCACTTCGACTGAATTACCGCCAAGCCACTCTTGCATTCGGGATCACCGGGCACTGGTAACTTTCGGCGGTGGCCAGAGCATGATAATGAAAGGCAATGAGAAATTGCAGACCCCACCCCGGCCCGTATACGTGAAAGTTAAAGAGCTGGCTATCAGAATGCGACATCATAGTATAAGAACCTCGAGATAATGCGCTCGCAGTTGAAAGGTCTTCCTTCTCTGCATTCGCAACCCGTCACTCGTTCATTTTCATTGCGCTCTAAACCTCCCATCCTAAAATAATATTCAAAATGCGTGCCTTCACTATCGCTGCTGCTCTTCTCGTTGCTGGAGTTCAGGCTGCTCCTGCTCTTGAGAGCCGCCAGGTTGTTTACGGATGGTAAGAAGCCCTACCGGACTTTCATGCAACCGAGCTGATTGGAGATCTGAAGTTACTTCTCCGGTGATGGTATCAACAACCAGTACGTCAGTGTCGGCCACGACATTGATGTTACCGATGCCAGCGGTAACACCCGCAACCTTGATTGTGGCACGACTTCCCAGCAGCTTGTTCCCAACGTCTTCGCCAAGTGCACTGTGGATAAGAAGCAGCCCGCGGGTATCACCGCCAACGAGTCCGACAAGAAGTAAGTACAGCAGCCACCGAAACGAGAGCATGCAACTAATACAAACCTTCCTAGCGCCATTAACTGCCCCGTTTCTAAGAGCAAGGCCGACTGCTAGGCTCCTCACTATAAAATGCCAAGCTAAGGGCTGGTAGAGATTTAATCATAATTAGTCCTTGAATCTCGGACTAAATTCTACAGTCATCAGTGTTGTTTTCAGGCCATTTAGTCCCAAGCCCGACACTCGCCAAACACCACCCATGCGTCTGGTAGCATAAGTCCGATAATAAATACTGTCAACTCCTATGGTGCCAATTTTATAATTCTTTCACCAATTCAATCGCAGCAGAGTGATCTAACAGGGATTCAAAGTTCTGCAGAAGTTCCAGTGAAGCACATGCGGGTAGTCTCAATTTTGCCAGGTCTTGAGGTTGCTTTTGAAGGTTTATGGAAGCGCGCTCCCTTGCTTCCACATGTGAAGGGACTGAAGTTGATCTGCTCATAGCTGCCATCGCTCATATGGATTGGCATGAGTCCGGGCGTCCTGCTCTAATTTAAGGAATAGTCGACCCCGCTTAGATATATGACCCTGACACTTAGTGTTCCGTGCAAGTATGGAGATCTATGAATCTACGAAGCTCAGTACAGCAAGAATGTAGTCTTGGGCAGTGCATACGGTAGCTGCATAGGTCTCGCTTAGTATAGCCCATGCAAACTCGAATGTCACCATGATTGACTAAGTCTGGTTTACCTACGCTAGAGGCTTGCTTGACAGATGTTTCTACAACCTGTAC